ATAGATAGATAGATAGATAGATAGATAGATAGATAGATAGATAGATAGATAGATAGATAGATAGATAGATAGATAGATAGATAGATAGATAAACTGATGTGTCTCCATGGTTACTGAACGATACACGCGAGGAAAACCTTCTGGAAATTAACTTGTTATCTCGTGATAACGAGAAAACCATGGAATATAATTATAAGTGGAAAACGGCCGCTCTCAGCTTCCGTACAGATATGTGATAACCAAAATTTCTACTTAAGTATTTTTTATTTGTTACTTTACAACTTTGCTTTGCAGCCATGTTTTTCCTGATCCTTTTTGAAGTAATTTTCCAAGATGCCCTGTAGTTTTTCATCCAGTACTCTGAGTATATTTATTGTTCTGGTTTGGGTTTTACAGAACAGTATCCAGCAGGGGGAGAACTACTTTCTTTAAATCTGTACAGCCTGAAACTTCAGCTCAGACCCTGAAAAGCATCCCTGTACTTTTCATCACCCAGACCTTTAAATCTGTATTTCCTGCTTTTATTTGGTTTGTTTTTAGCTCTTGCTGCACATCAGCTACACCGCATGTGTCAAAGTCAAGGCACATGTGGTACACACAGGTGACTTATGTCAAGCCCACCACCACACCCTAATCAAATATTGTGTATTAATATAAAAACAGATTTTAAATAAATTGTCAGCTTAAATTTATTATTCAAAGCAACATAACAGATTAAAAAGTTGAAAGAAAATATTTGTTCTGCCGCTCAGCCTTTGGCTTTAAGTAACTGTGGCCCCTGAGCATTTTAGTCGAATTGCTACTTTAAAGCCAGCATTGACGATAAACTACATTTCCCATAATGCATGTTGAATATCTTACCCATGAAATGATGTCCACTAGGTTTCCACACTTTACAGTCGTTGGTCAAAAGTAGCTGACAGCTGGTGAAATTTAACGTGTAAAATCTACATTAGATGAGTTTCATCGCATACTTTTGCCAGTTGTACTGGGAAGTGGGAATTTCCCACTTTCAAGTCGTAACTTTAAACTGGAACACCGCTCCAGTGGGAATTTTCTGTCAGAAAGTGGGAGAGTTCAAAATTCAAGACAGCAGCTATACTCACCATATCTCATCAGTGAGTAAAACTCTTTGTTTTACTAGTATTTCTGCATTATTTCATTGTAAGCCAGTTGTACATGTAGTACTTTTCATTTTTTACAAGAAGACATGTTAAAACACTGTTTCTATGCAGGAGATACCAAGCAGAGCTCAGCTACTAACTGTTAAGGATGCTCCATTGTAGCAACGAGATGAGGAAAGTGATGCTTTGTATTTAGTCCAGGTTAAACAGGAAACATAAAAGTTAATTACAACAAGCTCCTCYAGGACCACCATAACGATTATACAGCCAAGGACACCCCTGATCTGCACCTTCTGAGGCTGACAGAAAATAGTCGTTTCACATACTTTAATGCACCGCTGAGGTCACGAGTCCTTCTGTCGTGTCYTTAAGGCTTCGCCTCGTCTCATCCCACCTTTAATAATTACAGTCTGTTCATTTCTGCAGCTGTGAAGGACCCCGCCACTTCAAATGACTTATAGGCGTCAGTCGGAGTGCGTTCACAGTGTGTGTTTAGTCTGCCGCTAACTAATGTTCCTGAAAACAAATGGCCCAATCAGAATCCAGCCTCGGTAGTACCGGCTCTAATAAACTCTGCAGCACAAAACTCAGAAAATAGGCAGAGGTTAAGGATGTTGTTGTTGCTGCTTCTCGTTAAAAAGATTCAGCTTCAGAGATGCTTTAAGATGAGAAGAAAAAAAAACTGTGCTCAGATGTGGCCCCCGGGCTGCAATAGATTTTTCTTTATTCTGTTTGGAGATTTGCTTTTCATTCTCAGAAAGCAGGGTCGTTAACGCCTCACACACCTGGAAGTCATCCTGGAGTCGTGTGATTTGATCCGTTGCATGTTTGAGCACAATTGAGACTTTAAGAACTTGGTCTGATTTTGATATAAATGCACGACTGAAAGCTTTTAAGAGACGGGAACAAAGATGTTACATAAGCTTTCTCTTTTGTTTAGTTTTTTTTCTTTCCGCACTTTAAAGTCGTCGGTGTCTGGGTCTCATTGTTGCAGATTTAATAAGAAGCCCCACAGTTACTAATCAGAAGTCCCAAATTTTTAAAATTTCTTTCAAATACTCGATAAATTAAATTTAACAATATCCTGAGATGTGTGGTGAATCCCTCTCATCTAAGTCCACATCAGATTTCACTTCAAGATCTGTAAAATTTTCTGAATTGAAGCCCTTTTCGTGTCAATTAGCTGTGGTGGCCATCTTTAATTAGATAAGCAGTTGTAGATGCACACTGATGACATAATATCATCTAAACAGGGGCGGAGCTAGACTTTATTTTTGTAGGAGTTGGCACCGGGGTGGCCAAGGAGTATTCTAAGGGGGCACGTACAAAAATAAAATACTGTAGATTTAAAAATTCAAGATGGCCACCACAGCAAATTTCAAATATATCTACTTTAGCTGTTTTGAGAAATGCAGAGCTAAAATTTGCCTCACTGTGCCACACCATGTAAGTTTGTAGACCCCGACTCGTGGTCGAGAAAACCCCGAAAACGTGAGTGCCCTGTGCGGCCGACGATATCCCAGGATTCATTGCACCGTCAGCAAATTAAACAGAAAAACAAAGCTGGTAAAGTTTTTTTTTTTTATGTCGGAGTTTAGTTTTTGTTTTGTTTTTACGGCAGAGTTTGGAATTTAATCACGGATTGACTAATTTTGTTTTAAATGTATATTTAGCAACTTGGCTGATGAAATTTATGCTGCAATGAGATGTTTAATAAAATACAGCTAAACCCAAATTATTATTAAAAATCTATTTACATTAAATGTTTTTTAACAATACTGAATCTTTGTGAAGTTAAACGATGAAAAGACAACTGAAGGCATGTGATAGAAAACATATGTTAAAGGGGCGTGGTCTCAAACATACATCTTGCGTAGACTAGAACATCTTTTTTCACAGGGTTTACGCAGCCGACACCAGACACTCCAGCTGCTTGACAGATATTTACTCCATTTTCTGCTCCGACTGCCCGTTTTTGAAACACCATATGTGAGCCCCGCCCCACTTGAGAGTGGCATCTGAGGTGGCCAATCAGGCGCCACCCGGCCACCCCTCTGGTTCTGCCCCTAGACTAAGCACCATCTGATGATTTGGCTCCCCACTGGCACCGTGCCCCTCCCCTACACTCTGCTCTGAACCTTTCCAGGAAGTCTGTGGTCTGATCGCCTGTGGAGAAACCAAGAGCCGCCTGCTGGAGACGGTTTACCCTCCATAAAAAACGCCACGTGAACAAATGCTGCGAGGGCCAAGGCCCCCATTAATCCTGGTGCCAGGACCCAAACGGCCTGATGTTAACAAGTCGGCACGTCCAGCAATGACAGACGACTTGTTTTCCTCACACAAAGAGAACAAGTCAGCGCTGCGGGATGACATAGTTTCATTTAAATGTAAAAAAGAAGAACTAGGAAATGTTTTGGTTCT